CTCTTTTCAAAATCACACATTTGAAACCCTAACTTCCAAAATCCAAAACCATTTATACAAAAGCTCACAATCTAGGTCAAAGCCCATAAAGATGAGTAGGAATCCCTACCTCAAAGATGAAACCCAACGAAGAAGATGAAGGAAACGAAGATGCTCTAAATCCCGAAATTCTTGGATCAAAATATAGCCCTCAACGATCAACACACTTTTTACAAAGGCCGAAGGATAGGGAGATACTCTAACTAGATCAAACCCTAGAGAGAAGGGAGATCCTAGAGAGAGAGGCTCTCAAAATCGATTTTGGGAAAGTAAGAGACAGAAAGGAAATGTAAAAAGTGATTTAAAATTACCCAGTGGATGACTCATATACGTATGACCTGCTCGAGCGTAGAATAGAACGCTCGAGCGTCAAGCACAAAAATCTGGTCATGCTCAAGCGCAAGAAGGCCCGCTTGTGCACCAAGAAACAAAAGCAAAACACATCCAATCGAGCGCGAAGAACCAGTTCGCTCGAGCGTAGATTTTCACCTCCCAAAACTTTTCAAAAAAAGAACTACCCACTCGAGCGCCAACAAGCCTACTCGAACGCGATCCGCTCGAGCACAAGAAACCCGCTCGAGCGTAGAAAACACACCTGCAGAAGTTTTGCAGGGGCACGAAATATTGGAAGAGTGTAAACCCCGCTCGAGCGCAAGAAGACTCGCTTGAGCAGACTATTCAAAAACTGGGCAACAACAATGGGAGCTAAAGCTCTACCAACCTGTAACAACCAAGCCCAACACATTCTAAAACTCAAACAAAAAGGGTTTAAAGGTTGAGAACACGATAGGTACAACTACCAGCTCCATGGAACCGCGTTTGGAATACAACAGAACAGTAAAGGGATAACCAGGATCGCTATAGGAGTTCATTAATATAATTATCAACTTAAGCTGCAAGGGGACAATTTACCCAATAACAATATGTGAAGATCAGGTGGCTAGATCAGAGATGTTGTATCAACATTGTAAGTGTTGCAATCTACAGAAAAAAAGGGATAATCGTAGCTCCAATGGTGAAGGAAAGGATTGGAGGTCAGAAGTGGAGAGCAAGAGGGTTGAGGATGAAGCTGAGGTAGAAGGCCAGGTCAGAGGTGAGCTGGACAGAGAAGGTGATGTGGAGGTAGCAGGGTTTAGGACAAGGCATGAAGGGCATAATGATACTGCTGATCTAGATAGGTAGCGGAGCAAGTCTATGGTTGCAAAGACTGACATCAACTTGGGAAAGAAAAATAGTGGGGACGCATGCAAGGGAAGGTCAGATACACTAGTGCAAAACTCTATGCAACTTCAAAATGTTGAGGCTGAAAAAGTTGTTACTCTGAGCTTTATGAGAAGTCTTGGTGGGTCTGAGAGGCATAGAGCTGGGCTTAACATTGAAGTTTTATTAGGTAAGGCCCAAGATGAGGGTGGAAATTTTTTGGGCCACAATTCATCTGGGGAAGGTATATCAGAGTTCCAGCCCACAAAGGATAATTTTGCTCATAACGAATGAGTGCTGGAAGCCCAATTCAGAATCGAGAAGGAGAAGAACAGAGTGGCCAAGAATAAGTCTGTAATGCTAGCTCCAAAAAGAACAGTGAACAAGAAAGGAAAAGCAAAAGGGACGCTGAACTTTCAAGGTAAAAGGCAAGGATCTCTTCACTTAGGGGATGGACCATCTTTGAATCTTAAGAAAGGAGTAGTGTTTCGGTCTGCTGTTGCAACAATATCCTTATCAATGGCCTGCAAAGCTGGTAGTGGTCAGCTTCTACCCAATGAGGCAGAGGCATCTCTCCAATTAGGGCATGTTCTTGGGTTGAAATGTAAAGGTAATGAGGAAGAAGTCATTAGCAAGTTGATGGAACTGGAGTCAAATGATAAAGAAAAAATGGTGAAAATGGGTGGTCAAGCCGACTGATTTAGATGACCCGCTGCTTTGGTGAAAATTTGGTCTCTAATGAAGTTAGTTTCATGGAATGTAAGAGGGCTTGGTCAGCCTATTAAAAGAAGGAAAGTCAAAAAATTATTTGTTGAGAGAAAGGTAGATATGGCGCTACTTCAAGAAACTAAGAGGACATCAATTGATGAAGAGTTTGTTAGATTATGTTGGCCGCTTGAGAAGATGGAGTTCATGGCAGTAGATTCAGTTGGAGCAGCCGGTGGCTTGCTTTGCATTTGGAACCCAGATGTTTTTCAACTTGTGGATTGCTGCTGTAACAGGAATTTCATCCTTTTGATAGGTACTCTTTATGGTAGCTTTGATTGTGTGTTTGTTAATGTTTATGGTCCAAATGATGTTACCAGCATAAGTAGGGTATGGGCTATTTTGCATAGGCTGAAGTCAGGGGGTGAAAAACCTTGGTGTTTGGGGGCTGATTTTAATGAAGTTAGAAGTATATCTGAAAGAAAGGGTTGTTCTAGAAGGGATAGAGGTATGTTTGATTTCAATGAACTAATTAAAAACCTGGAAGTGTGTGATATTCCAATGTTGGGAAGGAAATTTACCTGGTGTAACTCTCAACAAGGAGATAAATGGAGTAGGCTGGACAGGTTTTTGCTTAGTCCAGAATGGTTGCAGAAGTTCAATTTCAAATTATGGGGTCTACCAAGAAGGCTATCTGATCATTGCCCTATACTTCTCTTGGAAGATGAGAGGGATTGGGGTCCAAAGCCTTTCAGATTCCTAAATGCCTGGACTCTTCATCCTCTTTTCAAATCCTTTGTGGACAAAATTTGGAAGGAAACTCCTATAGATGGCTGGGCTAGTTTCTAGTACTTAAGGAAACTTAAATCCCTTAGAATAGCACTGAAACAATGGAACTAGGAAGTTTTTGGAAATGTGGATTATAAACTCAAGGTCTTAGAGGAGGAATTACATGTTCTTGATCTGACAGCTAAGGAAAGGCCACTGTCAGAGGCAGAGTCGAACAGAAGAAAAGAGGCTAAAGAGGAAGCGTGGAAGTTAAGTACTATGGTGGAATGGGTTTGGTTGCAGAAATCTAGAGTTAACTGGGTTTTGAAAGGTGATAAAAACACAAAATTCTTTCATGTGATGGCTGCATCTAGAAATAATAGAAATGCTTTATGCTTGCTTTCTGTTAATGGGGTTATAAATGAGAATCCAGCTGATATAAGGGCTGAGGTATTGCTTCATTATAGAAAGCTCTTTTCTGAATCCTGGTTCAGTAGACCAAGTTTATCTGGCCACTTTCAATCCATTAGAGGAGATGAGGTTAGAGCTGCTTTAGAAGCGGAGTTTTTAGAATCAGAAGTGTTAGCAGCAGTTAAAACCTGTGATGGAAACAAGGCTCTTGGGCCTGATGGGTTCAACTTGATGCTGTTTCAGAAGTGCTGGCAGTCAATAAAAGGGGATGTGATGCAGTTTATGAGTGAGTTTCATCAAAACTCTAAACTGGTCCATGGAATTAATAGCTCTTTTGTTGCGTTGATTCCTAAAAATGATAATCCTACTTGCCTTAATGACTACAGGCCTATTAGTCTCATTGGTTCACTTTACAAAGTGCTTGCAAAAGTTTTGTCAAACAGAATCAAACTTGTAGTGCCAAGGATTATTAGTGAATCTCAATTAGCTTTTATAGGAGGTAGAAGTATCTTGGATGGAGTGTTGATTGCAAATAAAATTGTTGATGGTTGGAAGAAGAATCTGAGGAAGGGTATTGTTTTGAAGTTGGATTTTGAGAAAGCTTACGACTCAATCAATTGGGAATTTCTCTTCTCTATGCTTGCAAGCTTTGGGTTTGGCTCTAAATGGATTAAGTGGATGCAAGAATGTGTCTCATCAGCTAAGATCTCCATTTTGGTTAATGGATCACCGACATCCGAATTTAGTCCTCAAAGGGGGCTAGACAAGGTGACCCATTATCACCTTTTCTTTTTAATATCGTGGCAGAGGGCTTGAACATATTGATAACCAGAGCTAGGCTGATGGGCTTGATTAAAGGTGCAGTGGTTGGTTCAAATGATCTCAGCATTACTCATTTGCAGTTTACGAACGACACAATAATTTTTTGTGAAGCAGATAGGGAGGAGGTTCTTACTGTTAAAAGGATTCTGAGGTGCTTTGAAATAGTGTTTGGGCTGAAGATTAATTGTTATAAGAGTGTGGTGTGTGGGATTGGGCTTACTGATGAGCTATCAAAGGAATATGCTTCCATGCTGAATTGTGTTCATCAAAGTTTGCCTTTAAATTATTTGGGTATGCCCTTGGGGGGTAATCCAAGGAGAAGACAGACTTGGAAACCAATAATTGATAAAGTTGACCAGAAGTTGGCTTCTTGCAAAAGGAGGTTCTTATCTTTTGCTGGTAGGTTGACTATGATAAAGTCTGTGCTATCATCCTTACCAACATATTATCTATCTTTGTTCAAGATGCCTGAAGGGGTTGCTAAGGAGATTGACAAAATCCAGTCCAGATTTTTGTGGGGAGGTGATGCTCTAAGAAGGAAAATTCATCTAGTAAAACGGGGGGAAGTAACACAAAGCAAAAGTTCAGGGGGTTTAGGTATAAGAAAAGTGAGGCTTATGAATGCTTGTCTTCTCTTGAAGTGGTGGTGGAGATTTGGATCTGAAACTAATGCTCTCTGGAAAAAAGTCATTTGCAGCAAATATGGTAAGGTTGGAGGGGGATGGTGGCCACTACCTGTCGAGGGTCCAAGGTTATCTCTGGTCTGGAGAGATATCCAGGGGATTGCTGCCCATTGGCCTCAATTGGTGGAATTCTTCAAAATTAATATCTCCCTTATTGTTGGTGATGGAAGGAACATCAAGTTCTGGCTTCATAATTGGGTTGGTAATGTATGTCTCAAAGATGAATTTCCAAGACTATATTCTGTGTCCCTTGACAAAGATGAATCTGTGGAAATGTTAAGTAGTAGGAAAAATGGAAATGAAGAGTGGAAGCTGGTGTTCAGGAGAGCCTTGTTCCAATGAGAACTAGAAGATTTGAGGAGACTGAGAATAATGCTTCTTAATGCTCCAGCTATTCGGGATGGGATGGTGGATAGGTTGAAATGGAATGCAGGAAATTTGGGGGTTTTTACTGTGTCTTCTACCTATGAGTGGAGTGCAGCATCTGTTGAAGCTAGTAGTAACTTAGTAGGGTGTATATAGAAGAATTTGACTCCACCTAAGGTGCAGTTCTTTGGGTGGTTAGCATGGAAGGAGAGAATTAAGACAGTCAGCTATCTTCAAAGACTAGGTGTCCTTAATGTTGCCTCAGACATTAACTGTATTTTCTGCAGGGATGAAGTAGAGGATATAAATCATGTGCTGCTGACTTGCCCATTTATTTGGAGGATTTGGTCAAATATTATCAGTTGGTGGGGTGTTTATTAGGCAATGCCTGGATCCATGTCTGGTTTGTTGCAGTGGTGGATTGGATTAAAACTAAAAAACTAAAAAAAAAAGGAGTTATCCATCTAGAAAGCTATGCCATTGGCGGTGTTTTGGTCTATTTGGAGGCAGAGGAATGACAGCATTTTTAAGGGCTCCCCGATGAATTTTGAAGGGCTATGTGATTCAATAAAGGTCAGGGTAGCTGTATGGGTCAGAACTTCTAACCCCTCCTTTACTTACTCAATTAATGATATTGTGTATAATCTCAAGCAGGTTAGATTTTCTCTGAGGGGCTGATTTGGTCTGGATTTGATTTTCCTGGGGCTTATGTGACTGTGCCTGCTGCTGTATGTTGTGCACTCAACCAACTTTGAAATGCTGAGTATTCTGCAGCCCAAGTTCTGCATCTGGTCTGAATGTTGGACTAATCTGTCTTGCATCTGAGTTACATCTGCGTCTCTAGGCTTTTTTGCAGCCCAAGTTATCATGGTCTAAAAAAAGGAAATGGGTTCTGCTTTTTGGGACTGATCTGGGTTGAATCTAATCTGTTCTGTATGTGTGAATCTGCTCTGTTCTGTTTGTGTCCTGAATCTACTATGATTGGCAGTGCTGATGGGTGGAGTGTGTTGCTTTGGTTTGGGTTGTTATAGAGAACATTATGTTCTATTAGAGGGATTCAAGCCCAATGCTAATATGTGAAATGCTGAATTAGTAGGTGTTAATTGAAGGAGTCAATGTACTGCTATGTTTGGTCTGCTAAGTTGGTTGTGGTTATGCTATGGTGTTTAGCTGGGAGTCATCCTAGCAGCTGCTCTCCTTCCATGCTAGATTATGGCAATCAGTTTGAGGATGCTTAGTCTTGGTGTTTGCTGAAGGTGTGGGTATGCTGTACCCAACTACACTTTGGTGGCTTCTCCAACACACTCTGGCAGCTGCTCTCTATTGTTGCTATTCCAAGTCAATTTTGGTGTTACTTTCAGGTGTTTAAAGCTGCATGATTTGCTTGAGGTTGGGGGATTCTCTATATGGATGGTAATTATGCTAGCAATAGGAGCTCAAGGCTCTCAAAATGAGGTCGAGTCTGGGCTGTGTCTCAATTCTGTTTTTTGGTCTGTTATGGTGCTCTATGGTGTGTCCGCGTTGGTCCCTCACCAACTTTGGGGTGCTAGCAAATGATAGGATGAACTTTGTGGTGCCAACCTAGTTGGGATCATTTAGCTCATTGCGATGCTTTTGCACTTCTCGGTTCTTGTACATGTTTTATTCCATCAATAAAGTATCTTTTTTTTGCTGATCAAAAAAAATATCTAGGGAAGACAAAGCGTATGATCGTAGTTTAGCATAGACGCTTTGTGCTAACCGATGATGATTCATGTCCGTTGTTTGAATATATGAATATTCTTGACGATGTTATTGGGGCTTGTAGCCACAATACATCATTATCATCATGGTAATGATTTTTCATGAAGTGAATCAATAAACTCTAGTTAGGAGATTGGAGGTGAATTCAATAATCTTAAGTTTATTACTTTCATATCTCAATTCAATTTTATATTGCTTTTGTTGATTTTTAGTTTTTAATTAATTTAGTTATTACCAAATCAACAATCTTTATTGAATTAATTTAGGATTTGATTTGAATATAATATACACTAGTCTAATTTGTTCCTGTTGAAATGATACTTGGTCTTAACTGTTATTTTAAGAAATAATAGTTTTACTTGTTTTTTAATATTTATTTTTTGATTTGAAAAATGACCCATCATTCACCCATAATACAAGCAACACCCATTACCTCCCTTGGAGTTAATATTTGAATTAATTCATTATACGTCCTTCCAACACAATTGTATATTGACTTTTATCGATATAGTTTTTTTTTTCTTTTTTTTTTGAGCTGATAAGAGAAAAAATATGTCCTGCACAATTTATGGAGTGTTAAACATTAATTAAACAAAAGAAAAGTAAAAATGAAGAATTTAATGCTTTTCCTTTTTCTTTTTTAAGTGTAATGAGAAGTGGTCCTTGGAAATCAACGAGGAAAGAACACATCCCAACAAAGTTAGGCTTCCAATTTACCTAAACAATTTTAATTACCAAAAGAATTAAACAGAATGATATAGTTATTTGTGATCCATTCATTTCAAATGAAAATAATTTTCATTGTGACTTCCGCTTCAAAAAATTTCAATACCACCTCATTCTGGATGAACTTTATGTATACAATTTCTATTTTTAAATCATCTTTCTTTTCTTTGTTTTTAATATTAATTTGGTCCAATTAATAATGTCTATTAGCAGGTTTGATAGAAATTGTGCATGAAAGTTGCCGTAACATGTTTTCAAGGGCAAAAATGACAATTTTAAAATTGGTTGATTTCAATTAGCAAATAAGAGAGTTTTACATAGTGAACCAAACAAAAGAAAAATGACATTCATCCTTCCATAAACCACTAGACAAATGAGTAACTTAAAAGGGATGTTTACATGTACCCACCTTCTGTATTGTATTGGATTTATATAAAATGTTAAAGAAAACATCTTTTTCAAGTATAGAAACACCCCAATCAGACTACAAGGAAAAACACTTTCTCTAACCAAAATATTAATTGCTAAAAGTCACCATTTCATCGCCTAACTATGTGCATAAAAATTTGTGTACAAAATGCACGGAAACTCTCATATAAATGTGAGACCCACACATGTGGGACTCATGTGAGACCCACAATCATGTGAGAGAGAGCTTTTGTGCACAAATTTTATATATAAATAGTATTTCTCTTTCATCATCAAATGTACTCAATGACCAATTTCAAGAATATTTTGAATCTATTCAACTTATTTATTCATGGGAAAGTCTGTGGTACATTTTGTTCAAAAAATGTACGGTACACAAAAAATCAATGGCTAGGATTGAGCCACGTCATTAAAAATGACCTGCTAAACAGGTCACTTTTTATAGTTATGAGCTAAAATCATATTTCTTCATAACTATAATCAAATTGATCATAACTTAGCTATAACTACATCTCATAACCAACACCATTTTGTTCATAACTAATATCACATATTTCATAACCACATCTCATAACCAACACCATTTTAGTCATAACTAACATCACATATTTCATAATCATAATCACATATCTCATAACCAACACCACTTTGATCATAACAAATATCACATATCTCATAACTATTGATCACATATCTCATAACCACATCTCATAACCAATCCCTTTGAGACCACATCTCATAACTAGTCCCTTTGAGTCATAACCAATATCACATATCTCATAACCACTATTTTCATATCTCGTAACCAACACCTTTTAGTCATAACCAACATCACATATCTCATAACCACTAATCACATATCTTATAATTAACACATTTTTGCCCATAACCACACCACTTTGATCATAACCAACATCACATATCTCATAACTACTAATCACATATCTAATAACCAATATCACACATCTCATAACCACTAATCAGATAACCAATACCTCACAACTCATAACCATTAATACATATAGCATAACCACACCCTTTGACACCACTTTGCTCATAACCATTACCCACATATCTCATAACCACTAAGACATATAGCATAACCAAACACCCTTTGACATTACTTTGCTCATAACAATTACCCACATATCTCATAACCACTAACACATATAGTATAACCAAACACCATTTGACACTTTGCTCATAACCATTACCCACATATCTCATAACCACTAACACATGTAGCATAACCAAACACCCTTTGACACCACTTTGCTCATAACCATTACCCATATATCTCATAACCACTAACACATATAGCATAACCAAACACCCTTTGACACCACTTTGCTCATAACCATTACTCACATATGTCATAACCACTAACACATATAGCATTACCAAACACCCTTTGACACCACTTTGCTCATAACCATTACCAACATATCTCATAACCACTAACACATATAACATAACCAAACACCCTTTGACACCACTTTGCTCATAACCATTACTCACATATGTCATGACCACTACCACATCACTACAAGAAAACTGGGCTTAAGAGACAGAACTTTTTGCGACGGCACAACTTACCGTCACAAAAAATGTGACTTTTTGAGACAGCACAACTTGCTGTCGCAAAAAAATTGACTTTTTGAGATGGCACAACTTGCCGTCGCAAAAAATGTGACTTTTTGAGACAGCACAGCTTGCCATCGCAAAAATGTGACTTTTTGAGACGACACAACTGGCCGTCGCAAAAAAAAAGTGACTTTTTGAGACAACACAACTTGTCGTCGCAAAAAAAAAAAAAGTATTTGCGACGGTAGAGATTGCTGTCGCAAAAAAATAGAGTTTTTGCCACGGTACAAGCTGCAGTCGAGCTGCAGTTGAAAAAAAAAAAAGACTTTAATAGGTACCGTTGCAAAAATATATATATATATATATTGTGGCTTTGAGACGGCTTCATATATATATAGTTACAAAATGATTTAAATAAATGCAATGGTATTTTTCTATCATAAAAAAAAATTTAAAAAAACGACGTCGTCTTACTCTTTTGAACATTTCTCTTTTCACCTATTTTTTCATCTTCCTATCTCTCTGTCTCTGTCGCTTTTCTCTTTCTCTCTCTTACTCATCATTCTTCTCTGTCTGTCTGTCTGTCTGTCTCTCCCTTTCTCTATGTGTCTCTATCTCTCTTCTCTCTCTCTCTCTCTCTCTCTCTCTCACACTCATCACTCTTCTCTGTCTGTCTGTCTCTCTCTTTCTCTCTATGTCTCTGTCTCTTTTCTCTTTCTCTCTCTCACTCATCACTCTTCTCTGTATGTCTGTCTGTCTCTCTCTTTTTCTCTGTGTCACTCGTCCATCTCTCTTCTCTCTATCTCTTTCATCTATCTTCTCTCTCTGTCGCTCTCTCTCTCTCTGTCTATATATTTTCACTCATTTTTTTCATCTTCTTCTCTCTCTTTTCTTTTTCTCTCTCATTCATCACTCTTCTTTCTCTGTCTATCTATTTCTCTCTCTCTCTCTCTCTCATTCATCTATCTATTCTCTCATCTCTTTTCTCTTTTTGTCTCTTTCACTCATCTCTCTTCTCTCTATCTCTCTCACCCATCTTTCTTCTCTCTATCTCTCTCACCTCTCTCTCATACATCTCTCTTCTCTCTGTCTCTCTCATTCATCTCTTTTCTCTCTATGTCTCTCTCACTCATCTCTCTTCTCTCTATCTCTCTCTGTCTCTCTCGTTCATCTCTCTTCTCTTTCTGTCTCTTTTCTGTCTTTCACTCCCTCTCTCTTTCTCTTTTTCTCTTTCTCTCTCTCTCTCTCTCTCTCTCACTGTGTTCGCGTTGCTCACTCTCTCCCTTCTGTTTTCTCTATTTACTAAGCTCCTCTGGATTTATCGATCCACTACAAGAAAATGCACTTTTAGCGACCACTTTGTCTCTCTCTCGCTTGTCTCTGTTTCTTTCTCTCTCTCTCTCTCTCTCTCTCTCACTCATCTCTCTCTCTCACCGCCTATTTTCTCTATCACCTTCACCACTACTGCAAATGCCATTTCACTACAACCACTACTACCACGGTCGCCATTTTACCTCTACGACTACCATCACTACTACCATCGCCACCTCCACTACCACCACTACCACTATTGCCACTACTACTACTACCATTACCTCTCTTTCACCCCTACCACTCCATCTACTCTACCACTACCACAAGTTCACCACTAATCTCCTTCGCCATCACCACCACCACCACCATCATCTCTTATCCACCACCTTCACCACTAATGTCGCTTCCTCTCCTCTACCACAAAATATTACCTCTCTTCTCTCTCTCACTCATCACTCTTCTCTGTCTGTCAGTCTTTGTCTCTGTCTCTGTCTCTGTCTCTTTCTTTTTCTCTTCCTCTCTTTGTCTCTCGCTCATCTCTCTTCTCTTTATCTCTCTCATCTCTCTATCTCTCTTCTCTCTCGCTTATTTATCTTCTCTCTATCTCTCTCTCTCGTTCATCTTTCTTCTCTCTTTGTCTCTCTCTTTTTCTATGTCTTTCTCTCAATCATCTCTTTTCGCTCTCTTTCTTTCTCTCTTTGTCTATCTCTCGTTTCTCTCTATTTTCCTATATTTCTCTCTCTATCTTTTTCTCTTTATGTCTCCATGTCTCTCTCTCTCTTTATATCTCTTTCTCTTTTTGTCTCTCTCTCACTTATCACTCTTTGCTCTCTCTCTCTTTCTCTCTGTGTCTGTTGTCTGTCTCTCACTTTTCTCTTTTTCTCTTTCTCTCTATGTGTCTATCTGTCTGTTTGTCTCTCTCCCCCATTGTGTTCACCATGCTCACTCTCTCCATCATCTCTTCTCTATTTACCGAGCTCTCCACTACAAGAAAATGCACTTTTAGCGACCACTTTGTCTCTCTCTTGCTCATCACTTTGTCTCTGTCTGTTTATCTGTCTGTCTCTCTCTCTATCTGTCTCTCATTCATCTCTCTCTCACCACCCATCTTCTCTGACACATTCACCACTACTGCAAATGCCATCCCACTACTACCATTGTTGTCACTCCACATCTACAACTATCATTACTACTACCATCGCTACCACTCCACTACCACCACTACTACTACCATTACCTCTCCTCCACCACCGCTATTCTATCTCCTCTACCACTACCACAACTTCACCACTTATCTCCTTCACCATCACTACCACCATAACTATCACCTCTTATCCACCACTTTCACCACTACTGCCGCTTCCTATCCTCTACCAACAAAAAAATAGTTCTTGATTTTTAGTATAAAAAAAAAAAAGGGTCGAAAAAAAATATTTTTCATTGACCACAAAAAATTAACTTTATTTTAATAGAAAATATTATCCCTACTTCTACCTAATAAAAAAAAATAATTTTTTATTCATTAAAATAAATATGAAACAAATAAATTTTCAACCTTACTAAATGAAAAAAAAAATTATTTAAAAAAAATAATTTTTTTTGGCAACAGCATCCTCCCTTGAGAAAAAAAAAAGTCATTTACTAAAAAAAATAAAGAATAAAAAAAAATTCATTAACTATAAAAAAAAATTTATTTTAACAAAAAATAATTTTTTTTTTTAAAAAAAGAGCCATTTTGTTGTTTAAATATTCATTTGTGACGGAAACCAAAAAACAAAAAAAATATTCCCGCTCGATTTTCCACCCCCCCTTTTCCATTCCCGCTCGGCTTCCCCAATCCCCAATCTCTTGAACCAAAATCCCCAATCTCAAAATCCCTAATCTCAAAATCCCTAATCTCTTCTTACGTCTCTCTCTCTCTCTCTCTCTCTCTCTCTCTCCCTCTCTGTCTCAATTTGTTTTAGATGCTGATTCGGATGATTCACGGTCGAGGAGAAAGAAGAAGAGCAGGAGTTCTAGGCGTAGTAGGAAATCGGAATCAGTCGGTGATAGTGAATCGGATGAGTTGAGTGACCAATGCCATTGCCTAGAGCTGAAGGACATATTAGCTATGGAGGGGCACTCAGGCCTGGTGAAGGTGATGCCATTGCTCAGTACGTTCAACAAGGAAAGCGTATCCCAGGGAGAGGTTAGTGAAGGACATATTCACTGCTTTCCTTTCATTGTTTATTTCTTTTGAATATAGTGTCAGGAGGAAGAAGCTCAATGATTGACTCTTTGCACTCAGGGCTGTGGTCCCCAAAATTAGCAAGGCCTTTTATTTCTCTCTCTCTCTCTCTCTCTCTCTATTTTTCTCTCTCATCCATTTTCAATTATAAAATTTAAAAAAAAAATTGATCAAGTGCTATGAAAATTTGAAAACTAAAACAAGAGATGTTATGAAAATCACAGAATCTATTAAAATGTATATCAAATTAGAAAAATTGATGTTAGTCAATTTAATTTTGATGAAGTGTTGTGGTGATGTTGAATTAGATGGACAAGGCATCCATAATCAAAGATGCAATTGACTACATCCAAGAATTGCATGAGCAAGAGAGGAGGATCCAAGCTGATTTAATACAGCTTGAATCTGGAAAATTGAAGAAAAATGCAGTTTTTGACTTGGATCAAGAGATTCCAACCTTGTCAAGACTCAAGAAAAAGGGAATTGATCATAGTTATGATTCAAGGAGATCAACCACTTCTTCCATTGAAGATCTTGAAGTAAGTCTTTGATTAAGATTTGATTAATAATTGTTTAGTTTCTGGATAATTTTGTTTTCGGTAGTTAATTTGTTCATAATTTATACTATTTTAAAAAAATGAATAGAGGGATAAATTGGACATGTACATATGTATCAGTGATGTGATGTGTAGTTGAAATTCAATATTAAAAATCTTAAAAGTGATTTTTTGTACCTGGCCATTAAATCTTAGTTACACAACACATCACTTATTCTAAAATTACTTTAATAAAAAAAAAATCACTCTAAAGGATCCATACTAAAATTTTATATCAGAACTTATCCAAAAAATTTAGAAATGGGATTGTCTCCAACCAATTAGAGCATCTAGTCTGGCCTACTGTCATCCCATTTTAGATACAATTTGACAATCCGATATCTAATCAAATTAATTTTTAGTATAAATGATATGTTCGAAAGGTTTGATCTCAATCTGAATTTGGATTTCATTAGTTATAGGACGTTTTGATCTGGGCAATTACATGAAGATATTTTGGAAAGGAAAAAAAAAATGTGACATCTACCTCAATTTTGGCCTTCCCTTTTAGATATAGATATGTATATAGAAAGGAAATCGAAATAGAGAAAGACTCAAACAATTGCAAGAGCCATGCACATGTTATTTTAGAATGGTCAGTTGAACCCTAGAAGGTGCAGAGGCTCTGGCACTATGTGCTACCCCATTTTGGTTGAATTTCTTTGATTTATCTGAAATTTGTGAATTGAACTTGACTCTTCCTCTTCTTCTTCTTCTTCTTCTTCTTCTTCTTATTTATTTTTTATTTTTTATTATTGAATGAGGATGCATTAAAA